CTGTTACCCGCGGCAGACCCCCGCCCCGCGCGCGCATGCATGCACACACACACGCTCGCACCCAAAATGAGCGTACGCATGGGTCAGAGCTGGCGTGAGGCACCGCACATTTTCACGTCAAGTTTGGATTTTATAAATCACAACCTTGGCGTAAAAAGTGGCGTACGCAAGTTTCTGGGCTCAAATTGTGCGGACGCCAGTTTTATAAATCCGACCCCAGATGTTTTTGGAGTAGGTTAGATTCACAAACATCAGTTTAAACTTTTTATTTACTTTCTAATTTATGGATTTAAGTAGGAAGAAACAAGTGATCTCACCAGAGACACAGACTCAAATGGATCTGTTTTGAAGAACATTTGTTTCTGGCAGGAAYTAAAAAATGTTTTTTAACGCTCTTAATTCTAAACTCTGATATGACCGGCAGCAGACAATATGTTTTCCTTCAATGCTTTACAGGCTTTTTTTTTCATGAAGCTATTTTTTAATACTTTGAACCCTTTATTTTGGATGTTCTTAATAACTTAATGCAACACTATTTCAGGTTCTGGTTAGCAGTGCAGGATCTGAAGCGAAGACCGTTCCACGAGGTGCCCCCCAGGGCTCAGGAGATCTGGCAGGAGTTTCTGGCCGAGGGAGCGCCGAGTTCCATCAACCTGGACTCTCACAGCTACGAGCGAACCAGCCAGAACCTCAAGGATCCAGGACGATACAGCTTTGAGGACGCTCAGGTGGACTTGGATGAAATTCACCTGATTTTACTTGGTCGTGCATGCACCCATACAAGCCTGAAACACACTGCAGCTTAAAATCTCATGCTTCTGGTGTCGCCCAGCTCTGTTATGGGGTGAAACTGATTTAGCCTGTTCTACAACCTGAGGATATAAGGGGGAAATGAGTGGCTGTGCACTCATTTCCCCCTCTGAACCTCTTACTGAAGCCCACCTCTCCACTCATGTTACTCAAGCACTGAATGAAAGGAATAAAAGGAGACAGGAAGAATGACGGAGCGTGTTTGTGCCAGAGCCTAATGAGGCGAGTAATGCCATGCAGAGGGTTTTTTTTTTTCAGTGAGTTTTTCTGCTTTTAAAAGCAAATTCCAACACCTCTCTCAGGCAGGACATTACTCAGCTCCACCTTAATGGTCCCTGTTGTTCAGCTCTGCACACTCAGTGTTAACATACACACAGTTGATTTTAATTTATTTATTTATTATTTTGTTCATATCCCTTCTCTTTCCCCCGCAGGACCACATATTCCAGCTAATGAAAAGTGACAGCTATGCACGCTTTTTGCGATCCAACATCTACCAAGACCTCCTGCTGGCCAGAAAGAAGGTGAGCTGCCTTCGCTGATGTCGACCTCCTCTGCTTTGCACTTAACTTAACKCACTCTTCATTTCTCAAACCGTTTTGATGCTCCGCTTATGAAAAAAAAGGTAAACCAAGATAATGATTATAGAATAAATTTCACTTTATCACAAGCTGAAAATCAGATAGTAAAAGAGAGATGATTCCCACAAATACCCCAGTGTAACCTGATTTGTAATATTTAATGTTGTTTGGTGGTTTTTACTGTTTTAGCAGCCCTTTTTTATTTGCAGCACGTCTTTTATATWTATAAATATTTATCCACTTTTAGAACTATTGAGAAAATCCTTAAAGAATAAATGGTTTTAAATGTTTTATCAATGCCAAACTATAAATTTGGCCACTCAGCAGTTTATTGGTTTAACTTAGCCACCAAAACTGAGCACAGCCCCAACATTAATGATGAGGTTACAATTGACAAATTGCTTTGAAAGTGAACATTTAGCACTCGTATGTTGAAGTCAAGACTTCCTGGCTGAGTWTTTCTGCTCATTGATTTTTGTTTGTCTACTTGCACCAAAAAAATGTGTTAATACTTTTGGAAACAAAAAGCGTTTGATCGTCTGAAAGGTCATTTCATTTACAAAGCGTGGTCCTCCCTAATGTCGTATTGGCAGTTTGAGCTCGTGCGTGAGCTCTGAAGGCATTACGAGATAAACAGAGCCCTGAAAGGGCAAAACCGCCGTGGCCTAAAAGCGGGAGCTGCTAAATTATTCAGAGKAAAGGGAACGGCCTTATAAAAACGTTACATCATATGCCAAACTGTTGTGCAACATGGAGCACGCTGTAGATCCCAAGAAGGCAGCGTAGAGTTCTTACAGAGCCGTAGGAATGAGTGTCAGATGATTATTATGCCTACTGCCTTATAATCTATAAGAGCTGTGTGGCTAGGAGCTGTTTAATTGTGTAATATGGAGCTTTTCGGCAGATCACAGCTTCTTCAGCTCATGCTAGCCTTTCTGCCCTTTCTCATCTGAACACTGCTCCCTCTGCTGGCCTCTCACTAATCCCACATCATTCTCCTTGAAATGCACCCCACCCCTCCCCCCGCACTTGTCTTTGGCCCTTGTTTCTGCAATGCTTGGCCTCCCCCCCCCCCCCCACTTTTTTATCCTCCCCTCCACCTCCTCTTCACTAACAACTTCACTTCGAATCCCCGTCGACACACATACCTGACCCAAACACTCACCCTGCTCCCCCCCCCCYCCCAAAACAGCAGCCAGCAGACACTGAACAGGGCCGCCGCACCTCCTTGGAGAAGTTCACCCGCAGTGTGGTAAGTCATTTGGAGCTGGGGCTGTTCATATCACAGAAACCACACTGGCTGCATCACTATCAGTGGCTTTTTTTTGCAGTGATAACCATATTACACTCTTTTGTGGCTTTTTAGGTGTGTGTTTGCGTGACCAAGTCAACATTCTAGCTGTATGAATGGTTGCAGAGCATTTTTAGATGACGTCACTTTGATGGCAGATTTAATTTTTTTTCTCATGTCATTTCAACCAAAAAAAAATCCCTCAAATTTAAATTAAAATATTGATAAATGATCAAGTAATTTAGTGATTTATCTATTTACTTTTGCAGAAGTGGAAATCATTTTTTTAAAACTTTAATTAGATTCAATAAAACACTAATCATGAAAACGTCCTGATGCATCTCAGTGATCCAGGTAAAAAATCAAAAGGAAAAAAATAGTATAGGTCTTCTGGACGGGTTCTTCTCTAATGAAACGTTTCGTCTCTCTTCCAAGAGACTTCTTCAGTCTGAGAGTTTCAGGCA